ATCATTTTTAAATCTATGTGTGTGTCGTCGTTAAAATTAAGACTGATAAACGTCAAATTGAATTCCACACTCTCTGAGGGATCGACTTGGATTCTTTAGGTCCACTTTTACTACTTGTTCTCGACCCGTGCGCTTGCGGCATAGAATCGAAACCCGAACAATGCATTTATTGAAATTGTGCATAGCTACGAAATTTGAAGTTTTAATTCCATCTGCACTTCAGAGGATTGTCATCGATATGGCCATTTACTTTTATTTTATATATTTAGGCTTTTGTTTTTAGTGGACTAGCCCAAGCCCTTTAGTTGTATCGTTCAACATAGGGTTGTATTGTAAGCTATGAGGAAGATGTTGAATTGATGAATTGAATCGGAGCTTTGGCTTCTTCCGTGTTCTTCCCTCCTCCTCTGGTTCGTTATTCTTCTTCTTCTGGTTCTTGTCCTGTTTCTTTCCTGCCGACTCTTCTTCTGCTCAACTTTCTCTTACTTTCTATCTCTCTGTCCTTCTCTTCGGTCTGGAATTCCTTTTCTTCTCCTCTTCTTCTGCTGCTTCTCTATTCTCCCTCCACCGATCAATTCTCTATTGGTCCATATCTTCACTTTTATATTTGTCATTTTAATTGTAATCCCCTACATTATAATAGAAGGTATCAACCAATGAAATACAATTTATATAATTTCTATTAGTTTAATTAATGAAGTTCCAGCTTAGGTGATTAATTATATTCAGTTGAGTGGTGATCGTGGTTGGAAATTGACTGGTTTTGGTTGAAGTTCACCTCCAACCGTGACAAATGGTATCAGAGCAGCTACAATCCTTGGGTGTCCCTCGATTGGATATCATAAGGGAAGATTTTAATAAAATTCATGAGCATATGGTTTCAATATTGACTAAAATGATGGAGCAATCAGCACATATCCTTGATAGTGTTATTGAATATTTGGCAAGGTTGCAATGTGCAAGGAAAAGGTTCGGAAGGCCACTCAATAACAACTAGTGTTGGCAAGGTAATTAAAAATTCTGTTATCTTAGAGGATTTTAAACAAGACATAGTTACTGTAAATCTAGATATTGAGGTGCCTGCTTCTGATCATAATTTAGGTCAATATGCTCAATCTCCGCCTGAGTATAAGGGAGATACTAGGTTTCCTAAGGTTGATTTTCCACACTTTGGAGGAGAAGGACCCAGTGAATGGCTTAGGAAGGTTAGGGAATACTTCCAGATACACCAAGTTTCTGATGAACTTAGGCTAGGAATTGCAAAGATGTATTTGGAAGGGAG